TCTCTCTCTCTCTCTCTCTCTCTCTCTCTCTCTCTCTCTCTCTCCTCCCCTCAGCTATGAGGAAACAAATGAGCAAGGAAATCAATTGGTAATGTCAGAGTATATTATTATACTTGATAAAAGCTATCAAGGGTGACCATGGAGCTGGGGACCAATAAAAGGAAAGCTTTTTTGAAAAACATAAAGCACTCAGTCAAGGACTCTCAAAGGCAATCTTTCAACGAAAGTTAAATATCATGAGAAATGGGGCTGGAGAGATGGCTCAGAGGTTAAGAGCACTGACTGCTCTTCCAGAGGTCCTGAGTTCAATTCCCAGCAACCACATGGTGGCTCACAGCCATCTGTAATGAGATCTGGTGCCCTCTTCTGGCCAGAAGGCATACAGACAAAACACTGTATACATAATAAATAAAATCTTTAAAAAAAATTATGAGAAATTCAGAGAACCCCAAGTAGAGGGAAAGGCAACTGTAAAGCCCGTGAAATGGAAAGCACCCTTTCCCCAGTCATGGAACAGCAGGGGGGTCAGTGACAATGACAATGTGCCTTGTGTCCACTGAACTCCAGGCGGTGCTGTGAGAAGGGTTTCCTCAGAACCTAACTGCAATGGTTCTGATGAGGAACCAGCTAGGAGGCAGGGAAGGGACCGAGCTCTGGGGCAATATCAGGGAAGGGACACAATCCAACACCCACAGAGGCCCCTAATACAGAAAGCCTACTGGAAGTCATGTGCTCAGAGCAGGACGAAGAGAATGAGCTAATGCCATGGTCAGTCCATCTTTGAGTTCCTTGTTTGGAGGAGTCGGTCTCCTCTGTGAGGCTGGATGTTGTATGAGGGCAGGAGCATGCTTGCCAGATATTCAGGGGCCAATTAAACAAAACGTTTAACTGTACCACGGTACTTGGTATGTAGGCAGGATTCAGTAAGTATTGGTATAGAAATAAGACGGACTCAGTGGTTAACAAACTGTGGACTTTTATGACTTCTTACTCACTTGAGGGAATATCGGAGAACTAGGGATTGTTAAACAGGTTCCCCATTACTTAAGAGAGGGCTCCATTACTGCTGACCAGGAAGGGGACATTAAGGGTACCAAACCCTTCTACATGTTTGTCTTTTCCTTCCTTCCTTCCTTCCTTCCTTCCTTCCTTCCTTCCTTCCTTCCTTCCTTCCTCACTCTCTTTCTTTTTCTTCCTTTCTTCCTTTTTCTCTTTCTTTCTTTCTTTCTTTTTTTTTTTTGAGACAGGGTTTCTCTGTGTAACAGCCCTGGCTGGCCACTTTGTAGAGCAGGCTGTCCTGGAACTCACAGAGATCTGCCTGCCTCTGCCTCCTGAGTGCTGGGATTAAAGGCGTGCGCCACCAGGCCCAGTTACACCACACCTGGTTACATGTTTTTCTTAACTGTGTAGCATTTGCCCTCACATAAACATGTTTATATCAGGTAACAGGTCAACACTCCTTTCCCTTACAGAGGGGGACGCTGGAGAGAGCCTGGGCCTAGTACTCTGTCCGTGTTGAAGGCCTTGCAAACACCACAAAGGTTTTTTGGGAGGGCAAGTTCAAGAGAATCCTCTTAAGTAGCCATGATGGCGTCAAAGAGCCTAGGTGGTATTCTGGATACCTAGAACTCACATTCTTCCTCCAGCCTTAAAAAGAAGGGTGTTGGGCCAGAGAGATGGCTCCGGGGGTAAAGGTGCTGACCACCAAGCCTGTCAGAGTGAGTCCAACTCCTGGACCCCGCGTGGTGGGAGAAGAGGCCGAGCCCCTCAAGCTGTCTTCTGACCTCCGTGCACGCGCTGTGCACACGCAAATAGGGAAAAGGAAACACTGCAGCAAGGGAGAGGGCGACAGGGCACGTGGGATGTGAGAGCAGAAATGAAGCTGCGGTGAAAGGAGGCCAGGGTGATGTGGGAGCAGAGGGAGAGGAGAATTCAGAACTAATTCTGTTTGAACATTCCATAATGAAACCTCATATTTGTCATGTCAACCTAATTTTTTTTAATAGAAAAGGAAAACATTCAGAGTTAGGCTTGTGATCTAGATCCACTCCCTGTATCAGTGAGGAACTGCTGTGTAACAAGCAAGCCACATGCCGTGTAACCAGGCACCTACACGGTGAGGGGCTTAAACAATGGCTTGCTAACCCCCGTAGTCTGTGGGTTGCCTGGATGGCTGATTTGATGGTCTTATCTGGCTTTGTGGAGCTGTAGTTCAGTGGCAGCTGGAACAGCTGGCTGAAACAGATGGCCTCCCTCCTGTGGTGGAGGGTTAGCTTGGGGCCGCGGGGAGCAGATTCCCTTCCTTTGAGTTAAGTGGGGCTGGGGACTGAACCTAAGTCTTGGCAAGTGCTCTACTTCCGAGTTCCTTTCAGCTGCCTTAGACTTGTTTTTGTTGTGCCCAAATCTGTGAAGTACCTCAAAAGTCAACAAGCAGAGCAAGTCCCATATATAAAAGCCAAAAGCCTTTATTTTATGCAAGTTTGCAAACTCAGTCTCTCCACATGTCCAACGTATTGGAATAAACGGAGAGCCCCGAGCTCAGTTAGAATTGGGTTTTTACAGTAGCAAAGGTGGGGCTGAGGGATTTCTAAGGTTCAGGACTTCTGATTGGCTGACATTTGTCTAGGGGTGTCCTGGTGAGTGTGTGCTGGCAGGTGATCCTATCTTCAGCAGTTGGAATGTTAGGCATTTCCTTTGGATGGTCTGTTCTTGGGTGATGCTCAGGTAATCTCAGTTTGTGGTCCTTCCCACAACCAGGTATTGCTTCAGGGTAAACTACTGAGACTCAGGCCTCCATTAAACTTATCTATGGCTGAGTCCTACTCAGGCAGGTGATAATGGTTGGAAGTAAAGAACTTCCTTTGGGTGATCTGTTCATATTTAGCTATCACGACTGACTCCTACAGTTTTAAGACATGGTCTTATGTTTCCTAACCTGGCCATGAACAAGCACAGAATTCCTGACTCTCCTGTATCAGCTTTCCAAATGCTAGGATTCCAGGCATGTGGGACACAGTTCTTGAGGCTCCCCATGAAGGTGCAGTAAAGCAGTGTTGTGGAATGTTCACGGGCGCAGGGACCAGCTGAGGCAGCTGAGGATTGGGCAACTCCTCAATCCCGAGAACGTCATAGCGTCTCCACCTTCTAGGCTCCCTCCAGTTCAGAGTCATCCTCTCATGTAACCTGGCCCTAACCTGTGCTCCTCCCTCCAGGTGGTCTGGCTGCTGTTATCTACACAGATGCTCTGCAGACTGGGATCATGCTCATAGGGGCATTCACCCTGATGGGCTACAGTAAGTGGGGACCTCGGCTTTCATCACTGGGATGCGAAAATACAGGGACCAGGAAGCATGCTTAGTTACTACCTGGTCCCTCCTATTACAGTGGGTGAGAGAGAGAGAGAGAGAAAGAGAGATCTTTTCATGTACAACATCAGATTTCTTCTTTAGTTGCTCTCCACCTTAATGTTTTGAAACAATCTCACTGAGCTTGAAGCTCACTGATTCACCTACACTGGCTGGAGTCCCTTGTTTGCTCCTCTCCCAGGCTCTGGGGTTATAGCCATACTCCCAGCCCTGCCTGAAATTTACTCTTCTTCTTCTTCTTCTTCTCCTTCTCCTTCTCCTTCTCCTTCTCCTTCTCCTTCTCCTCCTCCTTCTTTTTTAGTTTAAATTAAAATAAAATTACCTCACTTCCCCCTTCCCTTTCTTCCCTCCAGCCCCTTTTACATGCTCCTCCACTTCCTTTCAAATTTATGGTCCCTTTTTCTTTGTGTATTATTGTTACACATATATAAGTATATAAATACAACCTGCTAAGTCTGTTTTTGTTGCCTGTGTATATATGATTTCAGGGATGACCACTTTGTATTGGATAACCAATGGATCTACTAATTTTCAAAGGGAAAACCGATAGCTTTTCTGATAATGGTGTGGATAAAAGATGACATAAATCATTTATGAATGTAAGGGAGAAGGGGATAACTTTACCAGTCAGGGATGGTTTTGACCTTGGGAGATGATTTAGACACAGAAGACTATGACAGCAGGACAGTGTTTTCACACACTCTGAACCCAGTGTCACCACTGTCTTACATGTCACGTTAAAGCATGACATTTAGATGCATGTCCGTGTAAAGTTTGGAACAGTGACATTGGGGATCTTCATTATT